CCCCAAAACCCCAAAACCCCGTGGCAATAGTATTACAGTTTAAAGTATTAATAAATAATTATTTAATAGTAAATTACGACGATGTGGCTAATTTCTCACTTATATATTATTTCTTATTTTCCTTCATAAATATCTCAAAAGTCTTCAAATACTTTCTAGTGAGTATCAGGAATTTCTATGATTGGCTCATTCGATTCTGGATAGTCGTCAAAGTATTGAAAGTCAGTTTATCCTCTAAGTTCAGGGACCCAGGGTGGGGGGATCTCCTTTTTCAACACAGCATTCCAGTCTACTCCTTTGAACCAAATATGATTTTTTACATCCTATGCTCCATTCTAATAATTTTTTCAAAAATTTAAATAATCTTACAATCATACAGCCAAGTCTTTTAGAGATATCATGATTCAATAGAGAATCAATGAGTTTTCTTGCATTGATTGATACGGTTGGTGGGAATTCATAGTAACCTATTGAAATCTTACGATATATCTCATAAGGGTTTTAATCATAAAAAGGAGGATAGCCAGCTAGCATTTCAAATAGTAGGACACCCAAGGCCCACCAATCAACACCCTAGTTGTGACCGCAAGTCATAATAATCTCCGGTGCTAAATACTCAGGAGTACCACAGAGTGTAAAACTTCTATCTACAATTTTCTTCGCAAATCCAAAATCTGTGATCTTCAAATGTCCATCACTTGCTATTAGCAAGTTTTCAGGCTTAAGATCTCTATATGCGATCTTTTTGCTGTGCAGATATTCTAATGCTAATACAATTTCAGTAGTGTAAAACAAGGCTGGATCATTAGGAAATAATCCTTCTTTCCTTAAAAGTCTAAATATCTCTCCACCTTAGATATATTCAAAGGTTAAATATAGATGAGCCTTGTCTTAGAATGATTCCAATCTAAAATGAATGATTAGACTAGCTAAATTGATATTACATATTTACTATAAAAGGATGCTCTATTTCAGAGAGAATCTACTTTTCCTATTTTATGTGATCAGTCTACTTCATTTATATAATTTAACTCTTTTTAAGGCATTTTATTGCTACCGGTTATCCTTCTAGTAAACCTAAGTATACTTTTCCAAATGTGCCAGTCCCTATCATCCGTAGTATTTTGAAGTCAGAAAATTTCCTATCCCTGTTCTCAACTTTCCTTCTAGGGGAACACTCTTAAGTAGAAAGGTTTAAGCTCATATTTGAAAGTTTTGTTTCTTCCATTAATGCAATGATTTAATTAATTCTTAATTATATTAAAAAATATACATAAGCATTATTTATTTATACAAAAGGACCTCTATTAATAATAAGTTTTTACTCAAAACCTTCTATATACTTACAATTTGCTTTATCAACACACCTGGGGTTTTGGGGTTTTGGGGTTTTGGGGTTTTGGGGTTTTGGGG